CTCCATTGGCGAGACAACTTAGGATAACGGACTCTCCGTTTCCGTTGAGGGATGGCGATGACGACAACGGCTACGTAGACAAAGCTGCCGAGGATTTCATAAACAGGTTTTACAGGGATTTGAAGCAGCAAAATAACACACTGTCCGAGTTCTAAGTTGGTTTTAATTTTGTTGCTCATATAAAAAAAAACATAAGAGAAAATCAACGAAATGATGAAATTTTCAGTTTTTTCTTGTTAGTTTGATACTATGTAAAGAACTGTTTATGTTCATCATGGAAATTTTGTTGTAATATCAACGCGCGAGAACTGACAAGTATTGTGCCCATATGAGACTTTCAAGCTTAATTAATATTTAACCTTTTTATTTATGTTCTCACTATCTAGTTACCATAATTCACTAATACTACACATAATTAATATCAAATATTCGAATATAAATTTCAAGGGTTAATTTAGATTTTTATTTTTTGCTTTGAGGTAAAATGAAAAAGAAAAATGAATGGCGGAGAGATCCATGAAGCCTTGATTTTAATGTAATCAGATGTGATTCCACCAAGTTAGGGAGCTGGACCCCCCCCCCTTCTTTTAAACATTCAACTTTTCCCCCAAAGTCACTTTTGCTTTCTTTTTTATTGTTTATTTTCTTCTTCTTCTTCTTAGTTTTTTTATTTTTAGGGTTTGAGAATGTTTGAATTTCTCCAACTTGAATGTTTTATTTATTTATTTATCATTATCACATGACATATTATAGTTCTATCATGTAGATTTTACTAATAAAATAATTATTATAAATGATTATCGATATTAACTGAATGACTAAATTGATAAAATTTTAAAATACATAAATTTAACTAATTTAAAATAAAAAAATGAATGAATCAATGAATTTATAACACAAAAACTTAATTGAAAAGTAAAATATATTTAAATACTTAAGTGATTTGTTTTGAAAAATTGAAATACTTCTAACAGCTTTTTATTGTCTATTTAAAAAGTCAGAGAAATATACACAATTGTGGTTTAGCACTGTTTACTTTTGGGAATTGAGATTTAACAACAACATAACCCTATTCTCATATATATATATATATATATACATGGAATAAGGGGAGATAGGGTAGTAGGCTGTCCACAACGTCAGGTTGAGAACAGCTTCCGTGGAAGACCTCCGACAGTCAGAAAATTAAAAATAAAGATAAAATATAATGCATGTATAAATAAATACTAATGACCAAAAAGATAATCAACGGAAACAGGAAAGATTTAACTTCAAAAGTACCCGGGCCCTCTTCAAATAATATCGATAATTCATCGTTCTTAGATTATAACATTTTAACAATTTTATGATTTCGAGCTATTATGTTAGATCGGCTAATTAAATTATTTATCTTTATTTTCTCATATTTTTAAATTATAAACCTATTAATAACCCTCACACTGATATTTTGTTTATTCACTAATAATCTCTCCTTAAGGCAAATTACAAAGCAGTCTGGAAAACAACCCAAAAAAATGAGAAAAGGGTGGGTGGGTGCTCAATTATTGAACGCCACACTTCTTCGCTAATTATCTCTCCTCAAGGCAAAGAAGCTTTTTGAATAATCTAAAGATATTTATCAGTCTTTTAAAGGCAAACCAATAATGTAATTCCTTTAGATTTTAGGGTAAAGTATACAAATAGTCCTCTGACTATATGATATTGTTTTATTGAGTCTCTTGACTAGTAAAAATTACAAAATGATCCATTGACTATAGGGTGTTGCTTTATTGATCCCCTGACTACTGAAAGTTACAAAATGGTCACATGACTATTCATTTGTTTCAATCTTCCCTTTTTCGTTTGATGACAGTATGAGCTGGACGTTAATATGTTATATGTGATATGATAAAATCTAATATCAAAATCTCAAATGACTATCATTCTCAGTCGGTATGTTAACGTTCAGCTCAGACGATCGTTAATTTTTTAACAGAAAATGACGAGTTTGGAATATATGAATAATTGGGCGGTCGTTTTATAACTTTTAATAGTCAATAGACTCAATAAAGCATCACCCTATAATCGGAGGATCATTTTATAACTTTTAATAGTTGAGGGATTCAACAAAACAATGTCATATAATCGAAGTATCATTTTGTAACTTTAATAATCAGATACTCAACAAAACAACACTCTATAGTTAGAAGACAATTTGTTTACTTCGCCTTGGATTTTAGATTCCTTATCATATTTTTAGACATGAACCATCATTTCTCAATGTCAAATCAAATTTGAGACGTATAATTTATGTTGTACAATGTTATTATTTTTAATAATTTGATGTGATTAAAAGATAACGTTTTTTTAGATTTTTTTTAATCTATTAATAATATGCACATACCTTATAAAATAACATTGAAACCACTAGATAAATTCAAATTATACCATACTTAAATCGATATAAACAATACTAATAATATTTACACTCAACCCAAATCCGATATACTCAAAAACAACATCGTAGATGAATTTCAACCACATACTTAATTTTAAAGCTTGAATAATGTTGATTTTAATTATAATCAGCGAAAGATGAAATTATAAGAGTTCTTGTTTGTGAGACACGACATCGTATAATTCATGTAAAAATAAGTATTTAAATTAAAAATATAAGAAATTATTAAATATTTAATCAAGTAGGGACCAAACTAAAAAATGATAATTTCATGTTCTAATTTTTTTGGTTTAATAATAATTTAGGTAATTATAAGTTTAAATATTAGACATTGTCTTTTGAGTTTTAAATTTAAATATCTTATAAGTTATTGTATTTTTCTTAAAAAGTTTAATATTTCTTCCCCTACCAATATCTATTCTGATCTCAATAATATTTTTATAGTTCAATATTAACTTATAATGATATTTAAATTATTAAAAATTTATCATTTATCAAAGTATATATAACTTCTTCAAGCAACATCTTTTTTCCCCTCTATAACATTTTTTTAATTATAATGCGTAATAAAATTAATAATTACAATATATTTAAACATAAAAGTAATAATCAAATTGAATATAACAAAAATGTGAACTTTGTATAACGCGTAGGCAGATTGATGGGCATGCACTCGTGGGAAATTATTGATATTTTTAGACCCAAAAGCAAAGGCTACTCGGTTTTTGGGCTAAGCAGTATTTAGACACATGCAAAACATGAATTAATAACTTAGTGTACATTTACAGCACGTTAATCATAGGCGTGAACTGTGAAATACTGGTTAATAAGGTGGTAAACAAGAATGTCATGGAAAATCAATGATTTTTTTATCCAAAAGCAAAGGACACATGCAAAACATGAATTAAAATTTAGTACATTTACTGTAATTTCTTATAGTGTGAAGCTTCGTTAACAGTATATTCAATATTGTGTCTACAGTAAATGTACTAAATTATCATGACAACTTCAAGTCCTTTTGCTTAGCATTATTTCCGATCATATAACTTCAATTACGTGATTAATATTCAATTATGACATTTGTAGCATGAATCAAGTGACTTCGGTAGTTAAAAGATTTATTGTTATTCGTTAAGATCTTGGGTTCAAGCACCACGCATGCAGAAATATGAACATTTATTGTCAAATAATTATGTCTTTAAAGAGATACTACTTTATACACACTCATATATATATATATATATATATATAAAGAAAAAGCATGGCACCTGTAGGTTATCTGTTCAAATCCAAATATAAGAGATTTGGATAAAACTAGGAACCCTAAAAGTGGACTTCAACTTCCATCTATTTTATTCGAGTTAGGCGAATCTCAGCTTGGCTTAAATATATTATCCCACTTCATTTTCTCTATTTACAAAACCCCTAAAACTAATTAAACCGAAAACCACTGTACATATGTAAAAACTTGGTTACCTCTTGAAATGGAGCCATGGAATTTAATAACAACACTATAAATTTTCTTACATATTTTATCCTACAATGTGTTATACAAATAGTTGCTGTTAGCATCAAATGTTTTACTTCATTCGTTAGCTAAGTTGGAGTAACGATGAGAAAATTATCTAAACTCCACGTATTTTAAATTTAGGGTAAGTTATACAAATAGTTTCGGATTAGTCAAAGTAAAGTTAGATGAAGAGCCTCATTTCTCTGTTTGATGGGATTGTTGGTCAAAATCCAGACATCCGCCCAGTTAACACTGAAGGTACAAATTATTCTTTCTTGATGTAATTTTTTTTGGAGATACTCTGCTTTGTTTCGGCTGTCAAAGTAATTTTGGCTGTAAGAGTGTAATAGAAGTTGGTAAATGTTAAGAATTACCAATAAAGTTTGTTGCCTTTTCCCTGGCCAATAAAATTTGGCATTCCTGACTTCATTTTTCTAAAATAAATTATTGCAAAGCTTATTCATCAAGTTTGTCAGCAGAGAGGCTGCTTGTCTATGGATGAGGAGCGAGATGAACAACCAAAGAAGAAGGTTCGTCTGGGCAGGCCTGCATTGCAGTGGGAAAGTGTTTACAATGCTCATAGGCCTATGAAGCAAAGGTATTTATGCCTCTAGTTATTTATATTTCTCTAGTTCAGTTGGAGGGCTGCTTTATTAATCTAATTGATCCTTTCATCAGTCTTTTGGCTCTTTTTGGTTGATTTCGTACTTGCTTCAGTTTACTGTCTGCCTAAAATCTCTGAGTAAGTGATCTAGTTGCCTACATTTTTTTGATAAACAACTCAATCGATTCTCTTTTCATACATTAAAGAATGTAATTGGGGCTTCCGATCTCTAGGGATATCAGTTTTTATGTATCACTAGTCAGATGAACAAGACTTGAATTTTAATAATTTTATTAGGATGTTTAATTTGTTAACCATATGTCGATATTAAAAGATTCTTCAAAAAGTAGATGAAATTTAAAATCAGAGACAGAATGAAGTCTAGGAAGATTTAGTTACGAGGTTTGAATATATATTATGAAGATGTTTTCATTGCATGGTGCGTGATTCTTAACAAACAACATCAGAATTTGTTATAAAGATAGACTAAAATATAGTATACAAGAGTCAAAACTATTACAGCCATGGCCTGTTGGCTAAGAGAAATAATGTTCCCTTTTTGTGGATCAACCCTGGCGGTGGTGGTTGTGGCGGAAACGGCGGTGGTCGCAATGCTTGGAGGAGAGTAAAGGAAAGCCATTGAAATGTGATCTTCTTTCTCTCCTTTATAAATGGGCCTCCCAATTACATGCTTGAATTGCCCCCCACTTAATGCCTGCACCAGTAGGAGCAAAACATGTAAGAAATAATGAATTTTACATGAAACCCCCCTATATCATGAGATCAGACCCACATACCTGTCATTGCTATTTTGTTAAATTATATATCTATCATCATGTTGTCCCATAAAACACATACATACATACATGCATGCATCTGTTATGATGAAAAGTAAACTACCTGGGTTTGGTCCCCAACTGTTATGACCAAAGCATCTTTATCAGGACAGAAAGATACCCATCCTTTCTTGGAGTACACATGAAACTCAGATAATCCATCACACGCATGCAAACACAAGGCATGTGAATAATCAAACCCCTTTATCAGCATTCTGATCACATCATATCTTAGTGTTCCACTGCATTTCTCAGCTCGGTTATGCTTGTACAGATGACAAATGGCACCTTGCCCTTCAATCATGCCATTTTCATAACCAGTTTTTGGTGGGAAACTTTGGCTGATGATTCCCAGAATTTTCTCAGCCACTTTCTCAATGTCAGACAGTAAAGTCTCCATCTTGTCACTGAAAATTTTGAGTAAAAGATGTCAAAGAATTAGACAATTAAACAGCACCAAAAGAGGAGCATTGCTATTTGTTACCTGAAATTTGAGTACCCAACAGGCCAAATTTTGTCCATTGCCAACTTCAAGCCTTCACCTTTACACCATAGAAACTCTTCAACTTCACCATCTTCTTCCCCATGAGGTTCCTCGAACCCGTATAGCTTCTCCGGTGACCGTGTCACCGCCGTTCGTTTCTCGGGTGGTAGTTGGAAGATGGCAGAAGCTGATCCCAGGGCTGATCGGATACAATCTGCCTGAATCCCATAATTCACCAACTGAAAGCATCCAGTTCTCGCAATGGAATCGAGAACGTTGAAAAGAGAATCGGTTTCCATGGAACTCAACAGCTGAAAATCAAGCTTCGGCGGGTTGTCGATGAAGTTCTGCCTAGGAAAGACCTTGTCGGGCAAGATCAGATCAGGGACACGTAGAGAATGTTGAAGGAAGTCGGAGAGAACATCCTCGTTGGTGACGGAGGACCTGCGGCCTCTGGCGACGGGAGACGGCGGAGGAGCGCTGAAATCAAAGGGCTTCTCAGGCATGGATTCAGGTGCCAATGCCATAACAAAGTGTAAAGATCTATAAATAAGTGATGAGAGAAAAGGGTGGAAAAAACCAGAAATAGAAAATTGTGTTAGATTCTTTTGATGAACATCTGAGTTGTAATAAAAAATATATATTTTGATGAATGGTACGTGATTAAAAAAAAAGTGAAGTGAAAACACAATAATAGCTTGTCATGGAGACATCCTACACAAACATGCATATTTTCTACATCTCTTCCCTTGACGCCTTTCACTAATCACCTTTCTCGTAGCCACCGAGCAATGCCCTATCTAATTGGTAATTAAAATATTGGTAAATTTCACCCCTTTTATTTTCGTAATTTTTTTTTACTATTTTTTAAAATTACAAATAATATTATATTATATTTATATTTTGATATCTTTGTTGTTCAAAACTTAACAACGATATTAGTATGATATTTTTTTTATTTTCTTGCCATTTTTCTCTCCTAATTAGGATAGCTCGCATATTTTTTAAAATAATTTTATTTGGTTTAATAAAATAATAACACATACAATTATCTTAGCAAAGAAAAAAGATAAAGAAGAGAAGAAGCACAGGACTTAAAACAATGACCGAGAAAGAAAATTTAATTTTACGATGTCATCAATATTATTACAACTGCTCCGTATTATATAATGTCAAATCGAGCATAATTTTTCTTTTAATAAATTTAAAATAAATATAAAACAAAATATATTTTAAAATATCTTTCAACTTAACGACATTAAACATTATTTTTAAAAGAAAACGAGTGAATCCGATGGAACACTAATTATGGTTGTTAGCGAGTAGTACTGCTCGTCATGTTGATGGCATTGTGGGCCTGTGAAAAGAAGGGGATCCAACATTGGAGGCCAGGTTGTCCTTAATTTTAGAGTTAAAGAAAGGTTTGCTTTGGGTTGAGACCCTAATCATTATGATTCAAATGAGTATCGGCCCCACCATTGTCCTTCTAATTGGGCGTCTAATATATAAATAGGTAGATTTAGAGCCCAATCGGTGTGGTTAATATGAAAATGGACCAGATTATCGCGTCAAAATATCAGGTACTACTTTCTTTCTAGAAGGTCATTCTGTATATTAGTTGGGAAAAAAACTTTACAGACAGAATTATAACACTGCTGTCAATTTTAGCATAAATTACTGATTCTTTCCTGTTTTTCAACGCCATCTATTTCTAGATGCTTGAATTCCTTGTTTCAATACACACATTTTATATGTTTTTAGCCATTAATCTAATAAAAAGAGTCTTATCTTGATTAAAAAAAAAGTCATTTTTATCAATTATTAATTTTTTTTTATTAATACGAGTAAGTACAAGACATTATCTATTAAAAGATAATTTTCATCCATTAGATATTAAACATTCAAACTCCTAACATTCCTAATGTTCGAATCTGAGACCTCAAAAAATAACAACAATTCTTTTGCCACTAATGTTGCTATATTCGTGCTTGAATTATTAGTTGATTCAATTAAACGAGGTATTAATTTTTTATATAAAATTATAATTTAATAGTATAAATAAATTTTAAAAACTATTTATAATAAATTTTTATTATATATAATTTGAATCAATTAATTAATAAATTCAATACTGATAATCATAAAAAGATGAGTTTTCTTCCCCCCCTTGATAATAGGAGAGTGAATGATCTTTCTCTAGAAAAACAACTTTTCTTTTTCTATATTCACTCCATATTTTCAACATGGCGTGCAAAGTATGAAGTAATTCCCTATCTCTCGGTGTTGAAATTTAAACGTCCTCAAATAAAGAATCTTTACTCTCTCTTTTTTACTGTAGCTGATGTGGCATTTGTAATTGTTCGGATGAAGTCCATCTTTTTTCATTTACATGGTTTAGGACTAGGGTTTTTATTCCTAATTTTAATATTTATTAAAGCAGTTAATATAGTTGTTAAAACTATATTAAACATCATCAACTCAAGTGTGGGGAATAAGAATTTGGTTTTATGTTTATCGATTGAACTATGAATATATGATATCTTCTCAGAGTTTACGTTTCGGTGACTACAACAGAGATAATTGAGCGTTCAATTTAAATAGTTAAAAATATGTATAATAAATATTATTCTACAACTACTTTTACTTAATAAAAAGATTTAGTGAAAGTTGAAAATATTTTGATAAGAGCATACGACAAATGAATTAATACGTTGTAATTAAATAAGATAAATCAAAATTGACCGTATTATCATGCGCGTTAAAGATCAAAGAAAAATGAAAATGGTTAGTTTATCTTTTGTCTAGTAAGTCCATTTCAATGAACCATTTAGCCTCCTAGTCCTTTGTCTAAGGTTAGGTTATTTTAAGAACGTGTTTACATGGTTTTCTTTTATTTAAATAAATAATTCGTCAAAAATAATAAATTTTCATTTATATTGATATACCCAGACTGTTGTATATTTAAAGTTTGTTCTACCTAACCAACAATCATTTGATCCAGTGGATGAGATATTAGATTCTTAAAATAAAGTCATAAATTCAAATCTTTACGTTTATGAATAAAGCAAATTAGATTGAAATGATCGTCTCTCGTTCCTACGAATCTTCTATTTGTTTCTTGAGCATATAGTCAAACACAAACAATGTTTGAAAAATGCCAGATCTTCGATGGCTCTATAACGCTGAATGGAATAGTGAAAACTTATAAATAAAAACCAGAAAATAATGCCTGATAAAAATTTTAAATCAAATTAAATACGACCTTATCTATTTATTTGAAAAAAATAAACATATAAATAAGGGTAGAGTATATAAGTGGTCCTTCGGCTATAGAATATTATTTTATTGAGTCATCTGATTATTGAAAGTTATTTTGTTGAGTCTCTCGATTATTAAAAGTTATAAATGGTCGTCTGACTATTCATATATCTAAACTTTCATTTTTCATTAAAATTAACAACAATTTGAACTGGACGTTAACTTGGTGACTGAGATATGATAAAATCTGATCATAGAATCTCAAATGACTATCATATCAAATCATCATGTTAAAGTCCAGCTCAGACTGCTGTCAATTTTTAACAAAAAAAAAATAACAGGTTTAGAACATATGAATAGTCGAATAACTATTTTGTCACTTTTAATAGTCGAGAGATTCAACAAAGCAACACATTATAAACGAATGACTATTTTATAACTTTTAATAGTCATGGAATCGAACAAAACATCATTCTATAACCAGGGACCATTTGTGTATTTTACCCTAAATAAAAAATAGTCGTAGAAGAATGGTCAAGTTTGGCGAGTAGAACCAGCCAGTGACGGGTTATGAATACGATGAATTCCTATAAATCGAAGATCGACATAAATGATCATTGCATCAACATTGACTTGTACTCTTTGTCCGATGCAGGGGTTCGACACAATTGCACGGACGTTGCATCAAATCCTAAAATGAAGAAAAACGATTAAACCGATCAATAAACAATAAAAAAAAGTTAAAATGGATAATATATTAGACCTAGAAAAATAAAGGAAAATGAAAACCAACCTCATTAGAGACTTAGACAACGTAATCAAAGAATTATTCAGTTAACTTTTAATATTTTATATAAAATTAATATATTTAGGAATTCCGCTACATGTTCTCGAAGAAAAAAGATCCTGCTATTTTCTAATAATTAGAAATATTTACATAAATCAATTACATGTATAAATTATAATTACTCCACGTGGTCAAATTCAAAATATATAATTTTGATCTCTTTCTTTGAATAGAAGTGCAATTTGTTGACGGCGATTCTTGTTTGTTTCCATGTTCCATCGCGCTAACAACTGGCATTAATGCGCACCGTTTCATAGTCGACCTTTTATTTATTTATTCATTCATTCTTATTTGCAATATAATTTAGTGATAAGGTGTGAATTTCAAGAAAATTTATTTCAATTTAAAGAATTTATGTTAACCTAATTCCAATGATAACTTTTAAATGTGTATTATTTATATTTAAAATGTCACCTTGGATAACTAAATAGGTTAGGAGTTACTGTGTGTTGGTCAAATTTCAAAGGTTTGCGAAAGTAAAAACGTGATGATAAACTTTTCAAAAGAATACTCCAAAATCTAGAAAATAACAAATCCTTTGTAATTATTTATTTCAAAGGGGTAGTGCGAAGCAACAAGTAGCGTAGAAACAAACAATGTTGTTCATGTCTGCCACTCTTGACTCTTGATGCCATTCAAAGCTGCTCTTACTTACTTTTTTATAAATAAAAATAGAGCATAAATTGCTTCATATATTACTAAATCTTCATATTTGACTTTTTTTTTATCTCTTTGTATTGGTTTTTTTTCCAGATAATTTACTTAAAATCAACAAAAATTTATATAAATATTTGATGTGCTAATGTTTTGATATCCTTTAATGACCGTTCGATAAGACTAGTTTTGAGTTATGTTGTTCATCTTCTCGAAATAATGCCTATCACCATTTTGATTTTCGAACAAACACCATAAACTCATGTAATACGAGAAATCCCTCGAGCCCAAAAAATATGGATATTTTGTTTAATTTTTAAAAAAGTTTGACGATAATATAAATTGATAACGTGATAATTTTTGATAATGAGATGAAATAAAATTTAACTTTTTAATTTCCATGTCAGTGCCGCATTAACATCAAACTACCATGTCATTTGTCTGTTCATGAATTAAGGATTCAATAATATAATTGATCCAAAATCAAAATTTAATGGTACAATCGTATCAATCTAAACTCAGTTGTAAAAGCGATACTTAACCTAAAGTTTAATGGTATATAGAGTAATTTAACCAAAAATAAAACGAAAGTTCGGATACTAAAATTAATTAATTAATTTGTCAAGTCTTAAATAAATAGCAATACAAGCCGTCCAATATGAATTTCAAGGCACCAACCGCAATTGACTTTGAAAGTATCGGACACATTAAGATGCCATCATATTTGAACCGCCGATTCTTTCATTTATTAATTTTTCTCTGTCTCTCACTTGCATGTATATATATATATATATATTCTTTCAGTCAATCTTCAACATTGAACTTTCACTT